AATTTGTTAAATAAATAAACTTTGTGTATGTGTATATTTGTGTGCAGTCAATGCCACGAAAACTTAGTTCACTATGATAGTACACTAACCGTCGAAGCACTTTCCTTGGTGGTACTGGGGTTCTGCTCATCATTATACCATGTGAACTGGAAGTCCTGGGACTGGGGAACATGTGACATCTCTGCTTTGCTTTTAAATCCCAATGTCAAAATGGCGGGTGGTAAAAAAATACTTATGATGATCTTTAAAAGGAAAGAAAACAAAATACTAGGGGTTATACAAGGCACAATTATGATTCAAATGAAGTTGACTTTGGTATATACAAAGCATCAGATCCATCCCCAGTTCGGCTGATATCCTAATCCTATACATCCTTTTTGACTCAACAATTCAAATTCTAAAAGGGTCTCCCTCAGAAATACTCATCAATCCAAGCATATGTAGATAAGGATGTTCACTGCATGGTTATTTGTAATAGCAAAACATTAGTGTCAACTTAAATGCCCATCTATAGTGGGATAGATGATGTAGGACAACCTAACAGTGGAATACAGGCAGCCCTTCATATCCACAGGTTTCACAGCCACAGATTCAACCAACTGCGGACTCAAAATATTCCAGAAAAAATTCAAGACAATTCCAAAATGCAGAACTTGAATTTGCTGCATACTGGCAATTATTTACATAGCATTTACATGGTATTAGGCATTATAAATAATCTAGATGTGTAAGTTATATGCAACTACTACACCATTTTATATAAGGGACTTGAGCATTCATGAATTTTGGTATCCTTGAGGGTCCTGGAACCAAGCCCCGACAGATTTCGAGACAACTGTACTATGCAACCTTTAAAAAGACAAAAGCAATTTTGAATATAATGAAAGTTTTATAAATATATAAAGCTTTATATGTATATGTGTGTATATATATATACATACATATACACATACATGTATATACATATGTGTGTGTGTGCATATATATATATATATATTTAGTGGAGATCCTGGGGATTGAACCCAGTACTTTGTGCATGCTAAACACACACTCTACCACTAAGCTATACCCTCCCTCTGTTAAGTTTCCTTTAATGAAAAAGAATATGAAAACAAATATATGCATATATATATATATATATGACTGGGACATTACGCTGTACACCAGAGACTGACACATTGTAATTGACTATAATTCAATTTATAAAAAGGAAGTTATATTGTTAAGTTTAAAAAGAGCAAGTTATAAGATACACATTACTATATATAAAATAGATAAACAACACGGACCTACTGTATAGCATAGGGAACTATATTCAATTTCTTATAATAAATTATAATAGAAAAGAATCTGAAATATATATGTATATATATATAGGTGTGTACGTATAATTGAATCGCTTTGCCGTACACCTGAAACTAGCATTGTAGATCAACCGCATTTCAACAGAAAGGGAAAAAAATAAATAAAAAATAAAAAGAGGAAGCTATAGAATAACATGCATAGTGTAATCCTTCCTTGTAAATGTTTTTTAATTTAAAAACATATATGCATTTGAAAGTTTAAAAATATGTATACCACACTGTTATTATTTATATCTGAGGCAGGGCAGTGAGAAGTATTTTGCAATGACCATTTTGCTTAATAATTCTTTGAAGCCACTAAGTAGTTATTATCACATAAAACACATTAAAATTTATTCATATTATAAAATCAAGATTATAAAAACATACCAAGTCACCATCTATCTATTAGATCCCTCCCCCATCTTACACATATATTTCCTCTGCCAGTAAAACCCAACGAAGGTATAAATCTAGACAGCCATAATTTTTTCATTCTATTGCTATCACTCATGAACTTATTTATAGTCTATTCAGAATCATTTTTATGTTCAACTTGCACAGCCTTTCAGGGTAAAGCATTTAGAAGATTTACTAAATGTTGTGAAAATCAACTTGTTGAACATTATTCTCTCTTTCAAGGTAAATTAGGCCTGTTATTCTGGGATTCAGTGAATGAAAATAAGATTAACCCTGGCTATATACCATCCATGATTGAAAAAACTGAAGTCATATCCTTGTCAGCTTTCTTTTGTTTTATGCTGAAATGAGTTTCTGTTGTTTTGTTTCAAAGTCTGACCTCCTGTGAGGGTTCTCTGGACGTTTCCCCGTTCTGATAGGGACTGGCTTCTTTGTGTTTGTTTTCTTTTCAGATGTAGAACCCAAAATACATGCAGTCTTCTAGGTCTGCAAACGTCATGGTTACAGGCACAATGATATTACACTGATTAATTCCTAACCCACTTCCTGAAAAGGCTCCACATTCTGTTGCCCTTGACCCTTGCAGAACAACTGGCTTGTGAAACAGTTTTCAGTGATGTCAATATTCCATTTCCAAGGAATAGGTTGGAGTCTATTCCCTAAAAGCACTGAAATCAGTTTTCCCTTCCACGTAAAACTCTACAAGGTCTTCCTCCAGTCTTCATCCACTTGGCATTAGTCTAACCGGGACATCTTACAATTATTTGCAAAAGTGTTCCCCAAACTCACAAGCCAAGCAGCAATGAATTAGTACCTAGGCATGGAGAGCAATATGGTTTACTGCAGCTCAGAGGTTTTATGTAGCTAATTCAACCTTCTTTGTCAACTCACTACGTTTTGGGGCAAAACATTTAGTCTTGCTTTCACTTAAGTCTCTTTGTTGATATAAGGTCTATGGGGAGCAAAAAGTTACTAAGTTCTCAGTAATAAGGATTTCTATTCAACTAAAGTATGTACAGGACATAGCCATTGGGAAAATTAATTCTCAAAATTCCAGCTGTCTATATCCCATTTCACTCTTTGAACATTTCTAAAGAGTTACTGCCAGAGCTTATGTATCTAGAGGTGGACCCATTCACATCTCTCCTTCAGCATTTCCAAAGCTGAAATGGAAACAAATCAAAGGAGAACTTCTAGAAACAATTGTTGTTTCTCTGATATTTTGTTCAAGAGGAGTCTGTGAGAAATAATTTCTGGTTGACATTTCTCTTATTTCTGCAATCTCAGTGGTGGAATTAAAATGTACAAGCTCTGTTATACATTTTATATCTTATATGTTTTATTTCATTGTATTTTCTATGTATGCCCAACCAAAATATATATTTTTAGAACAGTTATTCTATTTGGGACATGTCAGACTTTTAAGAACTCCGAAGAATAAAATTAAAATATAAAATATAGTCTTATGTAGATCTTAATGCACATGTCTTATCCTTATATTCAGTTTCATAAGCATATAGATTTCTTTTTTTTAAACAGTAACTTTGTTTGTTTGTTTGTTTGTTTAGTGGTTTTTTTTGAGGGGGAGAGGGTAATTAGGTTTATTTTATATTTTTAGAGGAGGTACTGGGGATTGAACCCAGGACCTCAGGCACGTTAAGCATGCACTCTGCTACTGAGCTATACCCTCTCCCCCAGCACATGTAGTTCTTAAGCTTGACCGTAACTTGAAGCTTTAGGCTTACGTTTAATGTCAAAAGTTAAATGTCTTTAATAATTAACTAAATTATTCTTGATAATTCAAGATGAGAAAAGAGGCTAAACCATAATGGAATAGAAAAATATAGAGACAATGGTGTGAACGAATATGTTTTGAGGGCAGCTTTATAAAACAGCCATTTATTCCCTGAAACATCATGTTGGATGAGCAGAACAACGGAAATTCCTAATTTTATTTAGTTTATTATCTGTTAGTATTCTTAAGCTGGGGAAAATTTCACTAAAAAGTCTCATTTACTTCTGCTATAATTACCTGAGGCAATGGGCTTTACCAATAATGAGTTCTTGCACGTGTTTGTACATGATTTTTACTTCTCCTCACCACCTTCTTATGAGTATACCTTTGTGATGGACAGAGATGGTATAATTATGCCCATATTTTAAAAGAAACTGTGGTAGTGGGAGAGGTTCCAGTGGGAAGATCCCAGCTCACCCATGAGAATCAAAAGTATTAACTGGTTTTCCTGAAGGTATTCTTCAGGAACAATGGAAAAATGAACTCAAGAGCATAGGCCTTCAGACTAAACTAACATTAAACTCTATCAAACAAGTAGATATACCTTTAACCAAGAGTTTTTCCTCATTTTCAGGCGCCCCATCCACATGTCCGTCAGTAGCATTTGGGTACAAGTATGTGAAACAAAGGGCCTCAATCCTCCAGAAACGGCCAGTTTCAAACAGGTAGAATTGCTCCAGTTCTTGAGTTCATAGGTCAGCAGTTTCATGGCCATTCTTTCATTCTGTTTGAATGCCTTCTCCAACATGTCCAGGGCAAGCTGGCCAAACTGTCTGCAATGACACAGGGGTGAGTGGCAAAAACAAAATGCAGGTGTCAGCTCCAGAAACGTTCAAAGAGACTAGATATGAGACTCAGAAAAGACCAGTGCAGAAGAGGGAACAGTAACAATCTCGGTTTGCAGAAGCTGTTTTAAAGGGAGTGCTGCTCAGGAAATGGATTGTTCTGGAACAGAATGAGAGGGTTCCCACTGTGGCATAGAGAATTTGGCTTACATCAGGAGTGCCTGAACTATTCATGGAGAGAAGCCACCCCACACCACAAAACAAGCTATGTATGGCTTGTTTGGGGGCTCCTTGATAAGACCTAATAAAGAATTTTTTTTAACATAGACTATTTAAAGCCAAACTAGCAATTATGGAAAAACTGTGGAAACTGCCCTGGCCTTTTTTTCTTTTCTTTTTTTTTAAAGATTTTACAAAATACACAGATGACTTAAGTAGGAAGCTGGGCCTGGAGACACCCCCAGGTGATTTTCTCGGAGGTTGTTTTCTCTAAAAAGTAGACAGTGTCATTCTCTGGAATCTTTTTCAATCAAAATTATAAATCAGTTTCTATTAATTCTAGCTTCTCTTCTTTCCCTACTACTATAATGCGTTAGTAACTTAAAAAATCAAAACTTTTCTATCTTCCACCATCACTCTCTGGTCCTTTAATACATAATATATATATTTGTTTTCCTGCCTGAGAGGTACGTAAAGTAAACAACAAGTTTTAATAGTAAAGAGTTTGAGAGTTGAGAGGGACTTTCAAAATCATTCATTGAACATTTTATAGTTAAAAAACTGAAGTCCTGAAATCTAGTCAAGTGACCGGACAACTAGCAAACAGCTGAACTAAGACTAAAACCCAAGCCTCCCGACTTGAGGGCCACCTCTCTTCCCTTTATTCCTTAAAATACCTCAAGACTTTAATTTATCAGACAGTCCATGAAACGCACAGCTACAAGTCCACTCGCCTGACAAGTTCTAGGCCGAGGGAGATCAACCTGTCTGACCATTCTAAGAACTGTCGCTGTTCAGTAGGAAGTGAAGAGAGAAGTCCTACTTTGAGTAGTTTTTCAGCTCTTCCGAGGCGTCGTCCACCATGTTGCTCTCCTTGGCTTCGTGGGCCATTGCTCGGTAGAGGATACAAGCAATCACTGCCTTGACCGTGGCCTCCTCTCCGTGCTGCCAGAAGAACATGGCCATCTTCTGCCTTTTCATTAGCACAGCCCAAACCAGCAGGTCATTGTATGGATACATAAAGCCCATAGACTCAGGGTCATCTGATACATTTTGTTCTTCTCTTGACTTCTTCCTTGATTTATGAAGGGCTATGGGGTTTTCCTATTCAAAAATGAAACAGGAATCGGTTTCCAAATACACAGATGCATGATGTTCTACCTGATGAAACATATCAGGGATCTTAGAGACATTTTTAAAACACTGAAAAGAGATGGAAATAATAATAGAAATTTATAAACCAGAAACCAAAATTTGGGCCTTTTAAGGCAATCTACATCTTGGCACTTCTACTAGCCCCAAGGTCCCTGGGGTGAGACACCTCACACTCACTTAGCACAACTTAAAAAAAAACACTACACCTTTGGAACAGAACCACTAACTATATGACAAGTTTTAATTGCTCAAGGAAATGGGCTGAGATAACATATTTGATAAATAAGAACTATAAAAAAAAAAACACCAACTCTAACCTCACCTTACAAATAGATTCATTACCTTCCTCTTAGAAAAATGTCACTAGTGTTGCCAACATTAATCCAGATAGATTGGTTTTTTTTTGATTTCCCTTACTCTGGCTATATTCTTCTAGTGATGGTAACAGGTAATAAATGAAACACTCTTCTTTAGCTGGTAAACCCACACTTTACAGCTCATCTCAGAAACCACGCTCTAGCCTCACACAGTCTTCTATATCACTCTGTAGGTATTTTATTTCAGTGCTCATTATATTACTTTGGGGAGGGTGGGACCATTTCTCAGTCATCATTGTGTCTTCTCCAATCCACCTGCATCTCATATTCAACCAAGCACCCAAAATAATGCCTGGCAAATAATAAGATTCAATAATTACTCTTTTTAATTAAAGGGGATCATAACACAAGTTTAACAAGCTTCCTCTATTTCTATAAATAAAGGGAATTTTGTTTCTTCATTGATTGTGACCAAGGGTAATTTTAATGGAATATCTTTTCATTCTAAGAGCAATGGAAAGCAAACCTCTTTCAGCCAACATAGGAACCATTTATACGGAAACTCCTGAGCAGAAGCACTCACCCCCAGAGGAGAGGGGGATTGAGGTAGTACAGGGAGAGGGGCATAATGTTGCTCTCACACACATACACACTCAAATACATTGTCATTGTCATACTGTAATAATAGCTAAAATTAATTTCCAGAGAGCTTCAAAGGGGAAAAAATAAGATGTGAGAAGCAGTCTGAAAGAGAAGCAAAGGAGAAGGAAGCAGCCATCTCCAGTGAGCCTTGGGGAAAAGGAGATGACAGTGCAGTGCTGGGCTAGTGATTCTATTTCTTGGTACCATCCCAAGGACAGACTTCCCGAGTCATCATCTGGACGTGGCAGGTAGGAACAAGGAAGGCAGCCTGAGGTGTCGGCCCCGGCAACCCTCAGGTGCCTGTCCTGGGCATTTGCTCATCGTTGTTAAAGAAGAGCGGTTATTATGCTTTTGACTTATGCCATCTGTTTATGGTGCTTATAAATGGTCCCTCTATGTGTATCTCCCATTCTCCAACTTTAAATAAAGTAAAGATCACAGTCTGCAAGACAATTCTATTTTCCAATCTAAAAATAAGTAAGTAGTACCTTGACTTTGTAAGGCTGGGCAGTTCTAATGAACTGAGAATGCAGTGTGCTTTCTGCAGATTCCTTTCTGTTTCCTGAGCGGTGTCTCCGGTGAAGAGGGGGTGGCTGGGAAAGGGCTTGAGCCAAAGTGCTCACTCGCTAGCATATGTTATTTTATTTTTTAAATAGAACAAAAAGGTTAAAAGATGATTATAGTGGTAACAATTAACATTTTATTTTTAGACAACAATAAAACCAAATGTAACACTGTGTCCCCCCAAATATCCAATGGTTCTGTCTCTCACCCATAATTAGTAATTAATTACTCATCCAACAAGAGCCTCCCATGCTCTCCTTATTAAGCACACTGTTATTTCCAAACATCTTAGAGAACATGCTCTTTTGTTCCCTATTATATATCTGCATTCCTTCTCCATGTGGAAATTCCATTAGAATCAATGGATGTTCTATATCTGGGACAAGTTCAGAATAGGCAATAAAGATCCACAGTTCTGATAAGAAATAGTTCCCATTCACAAACAGCTCCAAGGTGAAGCTTAAGTTAGAAAGTTACAGAATTTCTTCAAGTGTTATACAACGTCACTGCTGGAATTTCAGTGGTGAGGCCCAACAGCAACATAATTAATTGCTTGTCAGCATGAAGCTTTCATCAATTAAAAACAAAAACAAAAGAGAGCATTCTTAAGGGAATTACAAAAAAAATTCATGATACACTTCATTACTTTATTTTTTTAGTTTGTGTTTTATAGGTATAAATTGGACAGAAGTGATGAGGTGATGAGGCAGGCCCAAACTTTTTAAAGATAATACTCAAATTATTATCATTATTATTGTGATACAGAATTAATAGTGTCACTAGTAATAATCATAATGAGTATTAGCATTAACAGGAAAAGGAGGTTTCTCATATTCCAGGTATCACTTTATTTAATCATTTTGATAAATTTATGAAAGAGGGATTTTATTATGATCCCATTATTATCCCCATTTTATAGATGAAGAAACTGACATGCAGAGAGATTAAGCTTCTCACTCAAGACTACACAGCTACTAATGAGCAAAACTTAGATTTAGTCCCAGATCTTTCTGACTCCTAACCATGTATTTGCTATGATCTAACTTACTAGGAAACACAAAAAACTCTATATTCCTTCACTAGAAAATAATCAGAGAAGTGAGTAATTTCCTACCCATTTCTAGAAAGGACATTACGGGAACCATCCTAGCAGGCGTCCCCCTGGGTCACATGAAGGCCACAGTCAGTCCTATACCTGCCACTGGTAAGTCCATAGTAAGGTATATTTTGTTTAAATGAAGGAGCTGATTCCTCAAGTGTATCCCTACGCCTTTGAAATTCAAAAAAAGAACATTTTTCTCTATGAGATTTGGGTTTCTTTTTGTTTTGTTTTTTCATATCCTAAAGCAAAGTTGGACTTTCACTTTGCCTCATTCTTGATAAATAAAGGTCAAAAGTAGCTTGATATTCTAGACTTTGCCCTAAAGTATCTTTCCACTGTCATCCTTCACAATCTTCTGGCACCTCCTCAGTGACAAAGGTCTCCTTGTCACTACAAAACCACACCCTGTTGTCCACAGCACTGTCTTTCACTGCTCCTGCTCTTCTCTCAGCCAAAAATGCCCAAACTACCTTTCCTAACACTTCCATTGTCCTCTAATAAGAAGTAGGTCTTCAAATAAAACCAAAACAAATAAATAAAAAAGAAAAGAAAAATAAAAACAAAGACCAAAAAAGAAAAAAAATTAAAAGAAAAAAATTTTTAAACAAAAAGCAAAAGAAAAAAGCAACAAAAAATAATAAAAGAAAAAATGCAAAAACAAACAAAGAACAAGGCTCTTCAGTTTACTGATCTATGATGGTAATTTTAAGAAACAAGTAATGTTTTCTCTGTTAATCGACTAACCAGCAACTCTAATTTTACATTCCTAGACTTTCAAAACTATAATAGAAAACAGAATATGTACAACATGTATTTTTACATGGTACATTCTGCATGCATCTTCCAATGCAATCCCTGTGTACTTGTCCCATGTTTGCCATCTCCAGGCTCTGTACCTGCTATGAGTTTATGGATCTGATTCTATCAAGACTTTCACTTCTGCATTTTCAAAAGAAAAAGAAACATATGGAAAGGACCAGTCATCTCTCCCTCTAATCTTCCTCACCACAAACTTCTATGTCAGTATAGCACATATTATATCCTGTTTTGTATTATGTCTAGTTATCCATAAATCTGTTTCCTCTAAGAGTTTCTAAATTCCTGATCTTTATGTCTATCCCACGCCAGCATGCCAGCACTAAGCACAGTAATTTACATGTAGCAGCTGTTCAATAAATGTCACTAAATAGCACGTCCATTTTGGAAATGCTTTCCATCCAAATTTCCCAAGCCATTTTTCTAAAAGTGTTAACTTCTAGTAATCCTTAATTTCACTAGGATACTTTTCAATTACGCTACCTTGTTTTTGTTGTAGAGGTTGTTGTAGAGGGTTCTGAAATTTTTTCTAGTGTAGCTGCTACGATACGCTCCACCAATGAGGTATTCTATTACCAGTCCAATGTCAATCAGCGTTATTCTGTAGACTGAGAGAAGGGTATGCTGAAACAAAAACATATAACACATTGTAACTTTCAGTTCTCCTTCTCTATTTCTTTTGTCATGTCACTAGAACATAACCAAATCAACTGCAAAGAGGGAAACTTATACTCTTCAACCATCTTTACAAAGTAATCAATTAATATGGCCAGCTACTGAAATACCCTACTTCTTCAAATGGGAAAAAATACTTAGATTTGATATGTTCTTTGTTTCATACACATGAAACGTCTGCTTATTGTGCTCATTCACTCTCTTTTTCTCTCTCTGTCATGCATACACACACTTTAGAATAAAATACATTTAAAAAGAGTGTAAAAGATTGTTTTTAACTGGAAACGATAAACTAGTACAGAAAAGTATAAATACTGGAGGCTAAACTGGAGGATCCAAAATTAAGTTAAATCTTCAGCCTCTCTCTTCATTGAAATGGCTGTAACACTTTGCACTGTGTTGACTACATCATACACAAAACAAGAACATGGAAGGAAGTAGAACAAACAGAAACAAGGAACGTGAAATGGCAGAACTAAATGAGATATCAAAACATGAGGCTATGCCAAGACAAATACAGTTGGTAGGAGGCCCGAGCAGCAGATTGCCAAGCACATGAGTCTTAGTGTAAATGAAAATTATTTTGACCCCTTAAAAGACACCTTACTGCCTCCTCATAACTGTTATCTCTTAACTGTCATTCATAGTACATTTTTAAAGGCACAGAGTGCTGAGCAAGGTCTTCAAAATAAACAGATTGTGAGTAACATTCACAAAGTTTTGAACAAGAAATAAGATTACATATATAAGTAAATGTAAATAATTTAATTTCTCATTTTCACATTAATAATTTGTTTTTTAAAGGAACACAAATAATGTTCTTATTTGATGTTAGTTAACTAACGACTTTATTCCTTTTCCTTCAGGTTACTGTGATAGAATTAGAGTTTAAGGAAATAATCTAAGGAAAATCATTTTGCCCTGGCATAAACCAACACACACCAAATTTACATCAGCATGGATGCTTTTGCTTACAACTAATTTGCCAACTAAATGTCTTCCTCCTCAGTCCTTCCATTCTGGCTCTTCCACCAAGTCAATACACTCAGAAAGCCCCCATTCTCTCCATCAAGATACTAGACTTCAGAAAAATGAGGGGAAAGCTTTTTAAATGTACTGTGGATGGATTTCAATCATGATGACAAAAATAGACACTCCCAGTTTCCTGCAGATGTAAATAAAAGTGCTTGGTAATTAAAAGAGAAAGAAGGCACAAAGTATGTTAAAGTTGGCAAGTTTTGGTAACTAATAGGGGATCAGATTATTTTAAGTCTGACTTAACGTTCAGTGAGAATACCATGAGAAAAATAAAGCAAAGGTTTAGAGCATTGGGATCAATCCTGGCTCCCTAGAACAAGTCTTGGACTCACAACAGAAGAGAGAGCCCCCGAAGTATCGCTAAAAGCCAAAACAATCACAAAAACAATGGAAATCACGTATTAGTCCTTCAATAAAGACAACAGAACCAGGAAGTTTCTCAATTTTCAGCAGGTGTTAATATCATCATTGGCAATACTGTTATATCATGTTGAGCTGAAATTCTACTTGGAAGTTTCTACGTCTCCAATTCATGTTTTATAACAGAAAATAATGATTAGTCAGTGCAACTTACTTGGTGGGTCAAATCTTTTAAAACACAAAGTAAATTATGGGAAAAATGTGAGTGTAGCTTGGTGATGAAACTCTTCAGGCTCACAGGTAAAGAGGGTAGGTACTTCGCTATAAAATCCAAATCTACATTCTACAAAGCAAAACCTGGCAACATTCCACCACAAAGCTAAGACAATACAAGAAGAAGTTTGCACACCTTCATAATTAGATTACCTGTTTTACATCTCGGACAAGATGATGCAAGAGCATATTAGTTGGTCCTTGTTTCTGTAATAAAGAACAAGAGGAAGAATTTTAGTCACTTTTTAATTACCACATGCTAGGGAGAAAAAAAAACTAATACTGAAAATTTTCTTCAATGTCTTTAGTAATGAAGTCTAAGCCAAATTAATTCTAAGGAAGGTGTTTCTCAAGAGAAAATTTAATTAGATTGAAATATTTTCAATGCAAGATGTATACATCTAGGTAGTAAGGCCTTAATTAACTTTACGTGACAAGAAGAAGACATAAATTTTAACTAATCTATGACTATCCTTTCTCATATAAACCACACAATTATTGGGGGGGTGGGTATAGCTCATTGTAGAGCACATGCTTAGCATATATGAGATCCTGGGTTCAATCCCTAGTACTTGCATTAAAATCAATCACACAATTACATTCCGTCAACAAGTACTTATTGAACACTTGCTATGTTCATTCAAGCTTCTGAGGAACTCAACGAAGAATACAAGTATTTTCTTCATAGTTTTTACATTCTAATAGAAGGAGTGGGACTTAGATTAAAAAATTACCAACAATATGCTTAAAAAGAGTGGCAAATAATCTGTATCATAGGGGCAGATGACTGTGAACTGAAATAATCAAAAAGACAGGATTTGAGCAGGATTCTGAAGAAAGGGTAAGATCCAAAGGCAAAGAAGGACTTCTTAAGAAAAGTTCATAACTTGAGCAATTGGTGTTTTTACAATGAGCACGTCAGTCTAGTTTCAACAAAGGGTGTGCACAGGGAAGTTGAAGGAACACAATTTTAACAGTGACCTTAGGTTGAAATGCTTCTAATTACTCAATGAAAGCAATTTGTTCTTATTCACATCTTTGGTTTTAATTATGGTTTTACTACCCTCTTTCCTTAAATTGGTTTATACTTCTATTCTCTGTAATTAATTAAAATGGGAAAAGTAAAAATGACCATAGGATAAAACAGATTTGGTAAGGACGTTTCTCGTTTGATTGAAAAGTCTATCGCTCTATAAGCTATCTTTACAGAGGAATATTCAAGGAGACTTTAACATTCAAGATACAGCTTAAGCTAAGTCTTAAGCTAATTAATGAATAAATCTTATGGAGGTGATGAAATGTTCCAGTACTCACTGTATTATAGAGCTCTTCCAGTCTGGGGATGGTAAGAAAGCGATGGAGGTTCACTCCATATTCTATCAAGAGCTTTACAAAATCCACTCGATCCATCATTAAAGCATCTAACATTGCTTGTTCCAGGGAGCCAGGCTTCAGAGGGTAGAAATAAATAAGAGATAAAGAGACAATCAAGAAAGTAGAAATAACTAAAGAACTACATGTATTTGAACTCAAAAGTATAACAGAAAAAATAACCATAAAATACAATCTTACTAAGAAATGTTCAGGACCTTAGTGAAGAAATAACAAAAAATGTACTTGAAGGCATAAAAGACATCTTGAATAAATTTGTTCTTGGATCAGAAGATTGACTATGGTAAAGATCTCAACACTTCCCAAATTAATGTTCAGGTTTAATACAATTCTAATGAAAACCCAAGGTTTCTTAATTTTCTTTCTTTGTTTTTTCTTTGTAACCTTGCATGTTTCTATTTAAACTATACCTGCCTCCTGGGTATTGTGGCAAATTAAACATACTCATCTACTTTTCCTTCTACCCAAGCTCCATCAAAATTATAGTGAGGGGAATTTTTTTTTTAAATGAATCTACAAGAACAAGGAGGTTAACAGTGAAACATTTTAGAAATTGGAAAGCAGATGGTCAAGTGGTAATTGACTGAGCAGTCCCCAGAAAGCCAGAAAATGGAAGCTCCCCAGAAACTGAAATTGAAAAAAAAAAAAAAATCAAGAACCCAACAAACCTACACCACAGAACTCAGGCAGCATAAGTTGCTGATGTCAGGACCTTCCCAGTCATCTTCCCCTATTAACTTTCAAAACAATAGTAGCAATGCTTCTACCTTACAGACAGGGGGCTGGAGGATTCTTTTCTTATATTATGAGTAATTCACGATAAAAAACATGAATGTGCTAACATCTCAGGACCCCTAAGAAATGACAGCCAGATCACCCTACTGTGAAGCCCAAATCTGCATACTCAGAATTTCTAATGAGCTTTCTTTCCTCCACTCTTAAACAAAGAGTACAGGACAAAAAGATCCAAAAAACATCAACTAGGAGGAATCAGACAATGCAGGAAGAAGAAAACTTCAAAAGAAATATGTTTAATAGCCTCAAAAATATAAAAGAAGATCCTATATTCAGGATGTTACTTTAAAAATGGAGAAAGAACAAAGTTGCCTTAGAAAGTAATAATATGTTACCAGAAACAAAAAGTTACATACAAGGCATGAAAAATTAAAGCTGAGGAAATTTACCAAAGAAAAGATATGGAAAACAAGAGGAAAAAGATAAGATTAGAGGAGCAGCCATAGGTCTAACATTTAAATGGTAAAATTCCTGAAAGAGAGCAGAGAAAACAGGGGAGGAAATTGCCCAGCCTAGAAACACACGATTGCCAAGTTGAAAGCAAGGACTCAGAGTGACAGATCTAAAGACTCACAAAAACACATATCATTGTGAAATCTCAGAACTCTGGAATAAGGAAAATTTTTTTTAAACTTCCAGAGAAGAAAGAATGGTTGCAAACGAAGGATCAAAAAAAAACAAAAGAAAAGTTTTTACTTTTTAACAGTACTGCTGGGTACTAGAAGCTAAGTATTCAAAATTTTCTAGGAGAATTAGTTCAGCCTTGAATTAAAATATATCCAAACATGTAAGTCCTCAAAACTTTTATCTCCCATATTTCTCAGGAAGTTACGGAAGGATGCACACTAACAAATAAAGGAGTAAACCAAGAAAAAGGAAGACAGGGGATACAGAAAACGGGTGCTCTAACACAGGAGAGAATTTCTAAGATGACGGATGATGGCCCAGCAGCGGGAAGTACAGGCAACCAGTCCAGACTGCAGCAGTGAGAACCACAGACAGAAATGTTGAGGCGTCTCTAAAATTAATCAGAAACAGCAATATGACATTATTTAGAAATATGGAGATTTATAAATGTCAGAACAGTTCAAAGATGTCAAAAGTATTTGGCTTCTGTGATTAGCAGGGCAGCGAACTACTGTCTTTTTGGTAGCTTTTTGGTACCATTTGACATTTTAAACAATGGGCACAAATTAGTTCGACCCAAAAGTAATAGACCTGTGGTAAGGTCACAGCCATAATTTTTAAAAATGAAATGTTCATCGTGATTAGCATTAGCACTGTGAGTAATCTTTCTTCTTCCTGCTTTTCTGTTTTCACTAATTTCTATTGTAAGCATGCATTACATTTTAATGCAAAAAAGAAAAAAAACTTTAAGTTTTAAATAGCAATATAAAAATCTGCCCACTCAAAAAGTAAATTTAAAAATCCTTCTATTTGTCTTTCCCTCAACTTCCTCTGTCAGCTTCAACAAGGCTGCAAAGCCCAAGGAAAAATATGTTTTCAGGGAGGCAAAGTAGATGAGAAAAATGTCTTAGCGATCCCTGAATCCCAGCATGAGAGATGCTACCCCCATACTCCTCCCCAAAGCAATCAATCTCTGCTCCTATTTTCTCTTTTGCCCCTCCCTAACAAACCAACACACAACATAGGCATTCAAATAGCTCCATTTTCATTATACCTTCCAATGCTGTCCATAAATGAGGATATGTTTCTTGGCAATGTCCATTCTGTCCCAAGCCATTGCCAGATTTAATTGTTCTGATGCTGATAAATTTGTGCCTGGGGTAAAAGAAAGGAATTACATATTCTGTTTAAAACGTCAACATAAACAGCACAAAATGCCGTGGAATGTGAAAGGAGGAAAGGAGGAAAAACTATAATTTTATTTGGACACTCACCCTTTAGCAGAGCTGTTAGGATAGCTAAATCAAGGTCCTGTGACTCCTCGGAATCAGCATCAAATATGGTAATCTATAGCAGTTGAAAAATAGAAAGTCATATATGTGGGGAACTAGCAAAGAAATGCTTTCCAAAGTACTCACAAAATTCACTCTTGAGCCAATGAACTGAGGAAAACACTGTTCATTAATGTCAAAAATCACACAGCGTTTAAAAAAAATTTAACTAATAAGAGAGAAAACTTTCAAGTATGGTAAAGGAGAATTGTGCACATGCAGGAAAAAAATGAAAAATTCTGAGGATCCTACAAGAAACATACGTGAAAGAACATTACTACATTAATTTAATATTCACATACTATAGTGAAAAGAAACTGTCAACTCCTCATGTAAAGAAAACCATTCCTCATTTTGAAGGGATACAAAATGAAATCCCTCTGTTCACCTAGCCTTAGAGACTAAAACTCCTATTTTTTAATGAAAAATGAATCCTCAAGGATTTGTCATAAAATAAATGAGGCAATTACAATGCACTCGGTGAGCGAGCAGAATGGACAGCACAGACAGCTTTCACAATGTCAAAGTGTCCAGTGCCTCCTGGCATGCGACTGATTTTTTTTTAAGACAAATAAGGACACTATTTATAATTATAAAAATTCTCCTGCTGTTAATGAGTGTACCTCAGTCTTTCCAGATGAAAATATGTAATATAGAAGAGGGGGCTGTTCAACAAATAAAGAGCCAAGATTGGCAAGTTCAAGCCCTCGATATGCCACTAACTTATCAGCTGTGAGAAAATCTCTTAAAGCCACTGCATCTCAAGTTCCTCACCCACAAGATGAGAGGAACTCATTAAATAATCTCTAAGGTCTCATAAAGATAGAAAAAACTATGATTCTCCAATTCACGCTAAGAGCCCCTCTACCTAACACCCCCTCCATATGCATGAATAAAATCAACCCTCAATTGTACAGGAATTGAGAACCTAATTTCGTGTAAACCCTTAGCTGCCTCCTCTAGTTCCCACTTTTTGTTTTGGAGGTGGGGGGGTGGTAATTAGGTTTATTTATTTATTTATTCTTAATGGAGGTACTGGGGGATTGAACCTAGGACCTTGTTCGTGCTAAGCACATGCTCTACCACTGAGCTCTACCCTCACCCTCCCTCTTGATTACTATACCACTCCTTAGTTACTCTCCTTGATGACTGGAAGAAACAAAATATAAGGGTGATCTCTTTAACGTGTCCTCTTCTTAACTTACTGATTATTGTGGGGAATACAAAATGTAGTAGATCATGTACAAGATTTCAATTCTGTGTACAAGTTTCTGTTCTACCATGTCATAGTAGATTCTGGGCAAATCACTTACATTCTCCAGGCTTTAGCTTCATCATCTTTCTGAAACTGAAATACACCATCAGTGTCATCTTGAACTCATTCAACTCAACTCACTATTTCAAGTAAATAAATATCTTGAAAAAGTATATATTGAAAGCACACTGCTAATTGTAGACATGGTTGTTATTTTTGTTGTTTTTAGGTCAACTAAACTCCCAAAGTGTTTTTCACATCGGTTTAGCCATGCTTAGTCTAGACTAAACTTGCTCAATTGGTTTCTTGAGGCCAGGTGCTTTAATATCATCAAAATCTTGTATGATTTGGTCCAGCCTTCAAATCCTGGAAAGGTCACCGTGAATTATGACATTTGTGAATATTTACTGTAACTTTCAGCTTCATATCATCTAAGTCACTGATAAAAATTTTGATCAAAGTACCCTAAAACACTGAAACCTTTTCCTGAATCTATATTATGTTCATAGCCCATGGTTTGTGGCCTCAGTTCTCTGAGAGTATATTCTCACATTTCCACTGTCCAGTGCATCCCCCATGACCTCCTGCAGGATATACTGAGGACAGTGTGACACAGTCATCTAAGCCAGCAGACTTGAGTTTATTTAAGACATGGAGCTGCTCCTTTACCTTCTGAAAATATTTACATGTAATTTTCACTAAATTCAATCATTTTCCTGTAATACTGTTTTATTATCTTAGTGCTTTTCCCCAGGTACAGTCAGGAAGTTGAAGCATGGTGGGGGGAATGGGGAAAAGAAGCCAAGTTTACTAAACTAAAGGTCAAGTTCTGTAGAGTTATCCACGGTCAAGTTAGAAATGAAAGAAAAATCATAAAAATAAATATCACAATTGTCGAATATTAGCATTTTTTAAGTCAATTGAGTCATCATACTCACAGAATCCCTGTGCACCATACATGCCATTAGAATTTGAAAAAGGTGCTTGGACTGTTTAAGACTAAAGTTGAAGGTGTTCTGAATCATGCAGATGAGCTCCTCCTTCACCTGAGGACGCAGGGTCCTGGGAGAGAGAGAAAAACGGCCGTGACTTGACACAATGCAGAGAAGGGGACAAGCCAGAAACATCAGTACAAGTATAGCTTCCCTGCGTCAGTCCTGTCTGACTCAGAAGGCTTCTATGAACAGTTCTGCCAGGAGACGTGAGTGGGAAGCCAAGCCAAGCAAAGCAGTGGCACCAGGAGAAGGCGGAACTGAGAGCGAGAGAGGACTGGTGAGCCATGGTTCTGGGAAGAACGGGCTACGGGGCAGGGTTCTCCAGCTGATAGACTTCCAGGGAGCTGTGAATATCCAGAAATTAGAGAATCTGAAACTCTGAAAGGCTGAAGAACCACTCCTCTGGGTGACTTTAGGAAAGAGAGAGGTATAATTAGAATAGGAAGGGGGCAGAGGGTGGAAGCAGAGGCTGAGAGCTGAAAAGGGAAAGAAACTGTAGGGGAAGAGTGGTCAGAGAGCACATACAACACAAGCAATAAACAAATGTTTATTAAGTAAATTAGTGGGGTAGACATTTCAGTTCATAGGTACTGTATTTATTTACACAGTAGAAAGATCATGTTTTTGAAATGGAAAGAGTCACACTGGGTACAGGGATGGCTAGAGGAAAACTACCATCTTGTTTGAAAAGGGGAAAGAATTAAAGCCTCAAATAAGCACAACATATGCTACAAAAATGTCAGGATGGTGGTTTCCCTAATTTTGGCTATTTTTACTAATGGCAACTGAATTTGAAGGTGATCTGGGGCCACAACGGTCTCCTCCCTCCCTCCCCCGGGAAATGTTTTTCCCCTAAGCTCAGACAAGGCTCAAGGTCCGTGTCAGAAGCAAGCCATTCTTCAGCTAAGCAACTTGCATCACTGGAGGGCAATTTAGAGTTGCTTAACAAATACAAAACCACTGAAACATGAATTCCAATCTCAACCTCTCCATCCTCCAAGATATCCAGAGACTTCTAGTCTCTGTCCTCTAAGGATATCCAGCCCACATGGAAGCAGAGCTTAAAGAACTAAAATGGAAGAATAAAGAGCATAGTTTCAGAAATAAAGAGTCAATAAATACGCAAAGAAGATTATACTGTATAGCACAGGGAAATATATACAAGATCTTGTGGTAGCTCACAGAGAAAAAAATGAGACAATGAATATATATATGTTCATGTATAACTGAAAAACCATGCTCTACACTGGAATTTGACACAACATTGTAAAATGACTATAACTCAATAAAAAATGTTAAAAAAAAAAAAGTCAACAACTCACCCTTCATCTGCCAGATGCTTGTGGGTGAAGGCCAGGAGGTCGGCAGCCCTGCCTGTGCCTTCATATACCACCACTGGGTCTTTGTCTTTCACAGTCTCCCACACCGAGAGGATGACATTTGGACCACCTTCTACCACCAGCCCCACGACGGGCACGCCTTGTCTTGAGCCTATTTCAGATGACAAACAACATCAGATTGTTACAAAGGAACCCCATCTCAGCCAATCAGCAATTCTCACTGCCAGACACAAGTCTTTCAATTACCACACATATTTGCTCCTTGCACCAGCCCCTCTCTCTTCTTTGACTCAGCCTTGCTCAGTTTACGACCAACCCAGAAACTTGGACTTTAAATAAAAATAGCAGAAATATAGTGAGAGCAACTTCTCCCAGTTGAAAAGGTGGCTAAAGGCTGACTATAGTCTTTAAGAAATGTTAATATTTCATTGTGGAAAATTTCAAACGTATCTAAAGGAAAACAGAATGATATAATAGATCCCAATGCATCCATCACTCATCTCCAAAAATGATCAAACTTTTGCCAATTCAAACAACTTTTAATGGTGGTTATTTCTAAGAATGAGATGGGATGGGTAACACTCAGAGATTTTATATTTCAATTTATTCCATTTTTCACTGTTTGACTTTCTTATCAGATTACATATTACTTCATTAAAGTAAGGAAGACAAAAAAAAGAAAGACCTGTAGTAATTCTTTTTTAAAAGATACTAAGTGAACAAAAGATACAGAATAATATGCCCACTACAATCCTATTTTAAAATTTTTTAAACCATATTATATATGGGTATCTATGTTATATATACATATGCACATATCTATATGTATAACGTTATATAAATGACCAGAAAATTCTGGAAGGATATATATTAAATTATTAATAGTGAAGAAAAGAGAGGATGATTTGGGGAAATGTTGAAAAGGGATTTTGACTGTTTATTCTATAGATTTCTTATTTCATTTAACTTTTACACCATATGTGTATTGCTATATTTAAACCAATTTTTTTTTCAAAAGGAGGAAAATTGGCAGGCAACACCACACTTGCACCTGAACAACAGATGACTTTACTCTGGGCCCTGTGTTCTATAGAGCCCTCCTCTGGGCATGCGCCTCCCGTCATGATGAGGAGTCTACAGGGTCAAGGTTCATGAGAAGACTGCCCCTTCTCCTACTTACGAGACAGCCCTGGATCCCAAAATTCTTGCTTCCAAGGCTGTTTGAACCTCTGCCCCAGGAACACACTTGTCAAAGCAAGAAACAACTTTGAGGAGTAGTGGAGAGGTGGCTAGAACTTGGACATAAGCCTGATGTGTCTAGGAAATGTGTATGTGGCCCGAACATCATAACATTGAGCCAAAGGTGGGAAGAGAAGCAGAGAGCGACCTGTGAGCCATGGGCCAAGGTGCTGGTTCTGCTTCACCTCCACATTCTGTCTCAGTCCTCCCCAAAATCCAGGACTTGACCTCAAACCCGGCCTTCAAAAAGGTGAAAGGATTGAACCTTATTGTCTTGTTACTTTCATTAGCTTGATTTAAAGTTTTTATACACTTAGACAAATAGGGTGTGGGCTTCCGTGTGTGCCTCTGTCCTGACTCCACGAATGTTAGGAGTGGGTCTGCCAACACACATCCAAATGCCCCATTCAGTCTATTTAACTGCTTTGACATTCTACTCGCTTTCCTTTTCCACATACCTCCACTTCCTTATTATGTTCTCCCTATCACTAAAAAGCAAACCCAAGATATATCTACTGATAGTCCTAGGGTTTTTTCAACAACATAGTCTTGTAAAATCTAAATGAAAGGTGAAAATGGTTTATTAAGGCATAAAAGTAATAGAAGAAAATTTAGATTACTATTTCATTAATTATAGAATTATTGAAGTGGATGGATAAAAACTTTTTCAAGAGAATCTCTTACATGCTATACAATGAAATACTACGCAGTCATTAAAGATGTGCTAAATTACGCCTGCTAATATGAAAATACATCCATGTTTAGTAGAAGAAGAGGAGAAGCCAACAAAAGATATTATATGATCCCAGTGTTCATTTTTCAAAGCTGCTCTGTGTGTGTATGTAGAAAATTTCTGAGAGCTTACAGATGAAAAAGTTAACAGTGGTCATTTTGATAGTGAGATTACAGAAAGCTATTGCTCCTTTCTCTTCTACGTCTTCTTCCTTTACCCTAATATGAGAGTATGTAACACTTTTATCATCAGAAAAAGAAATCAGAAAGGGTTTTTTGAGGAGAGGGGAAAAGGATTTAGTTTCTGTTAGGTACATCTTTATTGAAGCAATGGCTAATTCCCACAAAAATAAATATTTTTGATAAATGTTTTCTACAAAAAAAGGATCTTACTGAAGCTAGTAATTCAATTTGTTAAAAAGGAAAAAAATTGTGATGCTTTTGCAGGCAAATCTCATCAAAGAGCTGCCTCTGCTCCTGGCTCCCAGGGTGGGCAGGAATTTGATGCTACACCTCAACATGAAAAGCTCCCAGAGTAGGCGTCTCAGGAAAGGGTGCTCTTCTCCATTGAGACTTGGATCGTGACCACATTCGGAGTCAGCTGACCCTATGCTCTCCATCCTCAGAGGCTTACAGCACACGAACTGACATTGGCCACATTTCAAATGGATAAACCCAGTGGTTTCTATAGCCATCTTATGGAGTCAGCCTTTTTTTTTTTAAGTGCTCTCTACCAAAATTAAGGGTTTGCCAGGGACTCTGAGAAGACTGGCTAAAAAGAAAGGAAAGAAATCAAGAAAATATTTAATTATTTTCATTCCAAGTAAATCCCTTCATAAATAAGTCAGTGACACCTACAAACATGGCAGGAAGCCTCCCTAGTGGCACAGTATGAAGATCACCTGTGATGCGTAAGAATTTTGGATTTGTTAGGGACTTTCTTCATTTGTCTTTCCTTCCTTTCTTCCTTCCTCCCTCCCTTCTTTCTTTCATTCTTATGTGTGCATGTGTGTAGTTTATTGTTTTTCGCTGTTTTCCTGTCAGTTCTCCACAGAATAATAAATGTTACCAGTCCCACTGGAATTGACTCCACATTCTCTCTCCAAAGACAGCAAAACCTTCCAAATAAATCCTAAATTTCAAACCCTTTGAAAGTAGAAATAACACTTGCATTGGTGATATGCAAGCTCAGGGCTGTTTTCATTCATCCACAAATGGAGACTCAGCAGGAAATAGGAAAGACAGAGACTTGGGTCTCCCAGGGCACGCATTATAGTGCTGCACAGAATCCCTAAGCCCAGGTGGTGAGCTCAGGTCAACAGAAGCAACAGGACATCTGAGGTAACGGATATTTCAGAGTCCTACAGGGACGTCCCTGCAGCGATTCATCTTCAGGGCAGTCTCTGACCTGCCCTCCTCCTCCTGCTCTCTGTCGGTCTCCCTCCCCAGTAGCACCCCACCTCCTAAAGGTCCACATACCTGCTCCTTTCTTCTCATTCCTGATCTAAATGAGCCTCCAAACTTCATTCACACAAAGCTCTAAAGGACCGGCAACAATTCCCAGAGTCCCTGTCCCTACCTCCACCCCATCCAGGAGATGACCCCGTACCAAAGGAGGATAAAAGGAAAGAAAGAAACACATTTACTGAGGACATATTATGTACCAAATACTATTCTAGGCACACCTAACATACTTTCTCTCTTCTAATTATCACAACAAAAGGTAGAGGGAGACAGTTTCTTCTGTTTTGTACCAAGAAAACAGTTTGACAGATGTTAATTTCCTTGCCCAAGGTCCCCAGCAGTACATGATAGAGCTTTGACCATCTGACCTCACTACATTCTGCTGCTTCAGAGGATTCAGGCCCAAAACTCAAAGGATGTTTGGTTTTCCAGCCCAAAGTCAAAGGCTGAAGAGGACTGAGACTCCTGAAGGTCTTCCCACTTCCTGGCGCCTCTGCCTGAAGGGTGGGAGCGTTTTGTGGAAGATTTAACTTACCCAGAGGCAGGGGCCGCCTTCTGCTGCGTTGGATGCAGTCTCTGTTTCTCCAGGCAGAATCCAGCCCTCCTCCTCCCTTTAAGGATCCCCACCTCCCCACCCAAGAATGCTCACTGATTCTGGCCCTCCTCTCTCCTCTCCGCAGACACCACCAAAACGGCGGTCTCAGAGCAGCACTGCCAGCATGTCACAACATCAGTACCTTCAAAGGCCCCGATTTCTACAAATCCTGATTTCAACCCCTTCTCTGACTAGGGCCACCCCACTCATGTACGAAATGTCGTTTTCCCTGACTGTCAAGGTGCATACCTGCCCTCTTCTCGGGCTTGTCTCCTCACTGCTCTTCAGCCATCCCCATTCCCACAGCAATCCCTCCCTTCCTCTCTCCCTCTATCCACCCAACCCTGAGGACTCCTGGAGGCACTGCTAAAGTCTCCACTTGGACACCGAACCTCCCATGACTATGCTGTCCCCCCAGAGATTCCTGCCGCCCCTCTGACTGTCACCCACAACTCCACACCACCTGACACCCTGCCTTCTTCTTGCTGAGGGTTCACAGGTGTTAACTTAAGCCAGGGGCCAGCTCAGACCTCTCCACCCTGCACAGGTGGCAACGGAGCACTCTGCTCCATAGCAGACCCCCAGCCAGGCCCTGCTGGCTGAGCCCCCGGGATACTCACAGCTGTGGATTTTCTGCAAAGAGAGGTACTTTTCCAGGTTCCTCCTGAGCTTCATCTCATTGCCGTACTTGCCCACGGTGCCATCGTCGGACAGGATGAAGTGGGAGTGCATGCAGTTGAGCGTGGTCAGCTTGCTGAGGGGGTTGCCCAGAGTCTGGTACAGACACACCACCTATGAGACAGCCAGGGCAAGGCAGGGTCAGAGCCTGAGACCCCTCCCGGCTCAACTGCTCTGAGACCTGTCTACACATGACAGAGTTCCCGTTCAGGTCAAAAAGCACCACTTGCTACCGAAAGCAGTGCTTCTTAAGCTACCCACAGTGAAAAATCAACTGAGATTTCTTTTTCTATTTCTTATATTTTTATGGACAAATATGTAGGCTGATCATGCATGACAAGGATGCAGCGTGTACTACAGGAGACTCATGACACAAGTTCAACAAAACTCGCACACACCATGCTGAGCAACATAAGCCTACTGGCCATATGTGTGGACATCACAGAGCTGTCACATTGCTAAAAAAGATTCTACAAAAAATAAAAAGAAAGAAAGAAAGAAACCAACCAGAAAAGTCTGGTGCTCTTAACTGTATTAAAAATTCATTCACAGACGAAAAAGAAAATAAATAAGTAAATAAAGTAAATAAATAAATAAATAAATAAATAAATAAATAAAATTTAAAAGATTCTAAATATTTATTTTCAATTTCTGTATTTACCCTGTCTAAGATCATTAAAAAGCAATTCAAAGATCTGCATTGGTACACAGACTACATCACTATCCAGAAATTAAGTATTATTTTATACCTGTCAGAATGGCAGGGCATAAAAAAACCCAGAATACCCAAAGCTGTCAATGGTACAAGGAAATGGGCACCCTACATATGTGCCTACACATACACGGAAAAAAATTCTGGAATGATACACACCAAAACATTAAAAGTGATTATCTTTTCTTCAAACCTTTTGTAATACTTAAGATTTCCACCAAAAATATACATGACTCTTTATAAACAGACTTAGACAAGCCTATTCCCTTTAGGAAAAAATGGACAGATAGGATCAAAGCATCAATGACAGGAGTGAATAAAGCAGAGAGTAGTACCAGATGAGGGAAGAGAAGGGCAAATCATACATGTCCCTGGTTTTACCACATGCACGCCATTGCAGAAAGCTTGCTGTTGCAGTCCTCCCTCGGTATCTGCAGGGGAGTTGGTTCTAGGACCCCCGACAGATATCAAAATCTTCCAATGCTCAACTCCCTATTATAAAATGGCATAGTATTGAGTATTGAGGCCAAGATGGCGGAGTAGTAGGGCACTCGTAGCTCACCCTCTCCCACAGATACACCAAGACTCACATCCACGGACCCACTCAGCCAACCAGAGCACCTGCAGAACTCCAACAGAATCTCATTCTCTTCAAAAGATAAAGACGCCAAAAATCTGTTAGGAGAAAGGAAAAACAAGAAAGAAGAAAAGGCAAAACAGTGCGGGACTAGTCCCGCAGGGAGAGAGCAGCAAAGGAGGACTAGCGCTCCAGAGAGGCCAGTGGGACAGAGGGGGAGCCTCCGACGCTCAGATCTGTACGGAGCAGCCCTTGAACTACAGAACTAAGTTAAATGGGCACAGAGGGTCCCTGTGACACCCAGCCCCAGAAAAAAGCTGGCAGCTGGGGGCCGGGACAGGCTGCCTGAGCCAGGCAGAGGACTGGGGTGGCTGCACTGAGGCAGCCCTGGAGGACTGCAAGGGGCTGCGCAACGTGGATGAGTGGGTGCACAGGGCAGAACAATCTGGGCCCTCCATAAAACAGCAGGGCTGATTTGCCCTGGGGGGAAGGGTGCATATCCCCATCTCTGAAAACCCACAGAAGGTTTTCGGTGAGGAAAGGCGGGACTCAGGCGCAGCAGCCATATCCTCCGGCGCTTGGCACCCAGGTAGGGGTGGGGGGTGAATCCTGAATCTGCGCCTGAGGGCTCAGCAGTATCAAAGGCCAGACAGTGACTTGTTTGCAGCCCAAGTCAGATAGGATCCTTCTGCCCTGGTGCCTCGCAAAGTTCACGCTGCCAGGACAAACAAGGAGCTGAGTTTGGGCACGGAGCGGGGGCACGGCTGTTCCGCTATCTTCCCGGGGCTGCCTGAGGAGGGCCAACCCCGGGCAGAGCGCCCGGCTGTGCAGAGCTGCAGAGCGACCAGCGCCAGAGGACGGCGGGTGGCCCCTTGCCCCAAGACGGAGCACGCAGCGGCACGGAGCGCGCAGCGGCACAGAGCCGCAGAGCGACTGGTGCCAGGAGACCGCGGGTGGCCCCTCGCCTTTCCGGCAGGAACACTCTGCTGGGAGGGGGCGCGATCTACTTGCCAACAGGCACTGGGAGCAGCACAGACCAGGGCGCCAACAGAGGGCCTCTGGAAACAGCAAGCTGAGTTCCCGAAACAGGGCAAAGACAGAAAGACTTCTCACTGAGAGCACACAGTCTCCAGGAGAACACCCCCTCCCTTTTTTTTAAATTAATTAAATTAAAATAATTAATTAATTAATTTAAAAAAATCTGTTTTTACCTGTTGTATTTTCTGTTACATTTTTACTTTTTGAACAATTATATATCCTCCCAGTTTTAATTCCTTTAAAATTTTTCTTTTAAAATAATATTATTATTATTTTAAAAAATCCACGTCATGTCATTTTTATTTCTCTGGGTTTTGATCTCCTGTTATTGATTATACACAGGTTTCAAAGATTTTTTTTCCTTTTTTTCTCCTCTTTTAAAGGTTTTTAAGAGATGTCTCAATCTGCTTGCTATTCT